TATAATATTTTAAGTTTAACCTTTAAAATAATATTAACTTTAATTATAAGATTATTATAAATATTATATATTTACTTACTTTACTTATTTTATAAGTTATTAATTTAGCAACTTCTTTTTAAGCTAAATGTTTTCTTATCTCTCTTTTTATAAAGAATATATAAAAAGTTATTTAATAATATTAAATAAATACTTATTTAAAACCTTTAAATTATATTATTTATAATATTAAAATTAACTTTATCTTAATAAAATTTTAAAGCATTATATAAATTATAAGCATTACTTATAAATAAGTATTAATAAAGGTATATTAATTTATTAGCAAGATTAAAAGGTATTATACTCTGCTTTAATAAGCTTTTAATATCCTTTATGCTAAACTCTTAAAAACTTATATTAAGAAAGCTATTTTATAAATAGCCATTAAGATAATAAATAATATAATTAGCCTTAATAGCATTATTTTAATACTCCTTATTTTTAATATATATTTAAAACTTATAAAAGACTTTATATTAACTCCTTTAACTCTTAAGAAAATAATAGCTATTTAAAAAGCTATTAAAAAGCTATGCAAGGTTTATATTAAATAATAAGTTAATATAACTTTAAATACTTATAATAACTTAAATATTATAAAAGTATTAAGTTTTTTATTATAAAGTAATATATAAATATAGCAAAAAAAGCATAATTAATAAAAATTATATAAGTTACTTAGCATTAATAAATATAACCTTATATTAAACCTTTTAAATAATTTAATAGTTTTTTAATTAATATTAATTTAACTATATTATTAAGATAAAAACAGTAAAGATAATATTTAGCTGATTTTTAACTTAAATAATGCTATTAATAAGCCTATTTAATTTAAACTAAATTTAATCTTAGTAATATTAAAACCGCCATAACCTTAATAATATAAATAGCCTAAGAAATTAAAGAATAAGTTAAAAGAAATATATTTCACTTAGCGAAAAGTTAAACTATAATCTCTCTTTAAAGCTTTAATATAACGGTATAATTAACACCTTAGGTAACCTATTTAAGGAATTTAATTATAAGGAAATTATAAAGTTAATTAGCAATAATATCTTTTATTTTAAATGCTTTAATCTTAAAATGCATAAAGGTATTTAACTTTTTAAGTTATATATTATTTATAAAATTAAGGGTAAAATTAAAAAGCTATATAAAAAATTACGGCTTATCATTGCTAAATATAGTAATAAAGATAAGCATAATATCCTTATATAATTTCTAATTATTTAAAAAGCTAGCTAAAGGCTTTTAATTACTTTAATTCCATTTCTTTTAACATAAGGCCTTTAATTAAAGCTTTAAAATATTACTTAAATATATCCTTAATTAAAGTTTAAGCTTAAATAACCTATTTTATATTACTTACCCCTTAAAATTTAAAATAAATACCCTCTTAAAATCATTATATAAGTTATTAAACTATTATATAATATTATTAAATTTAATATATATTAATAAGCAATTTATTATAAGTTTTATTATAATAATTTAAATATAATTATCTTAATATATAACTTATGCCTTTTAATTATAAATTAAGAAAAGGATATTTTTATTATTATTATTATGTAAATTAATAATATATTATTCCTTAATACTTTAATATTCTTAAAGCTAAAAGAATAAAAGATTAAGAAAATAAATATTTAATATAAGCTAAAGAATATACTTATTTTCAATAATATAATAATAAGCATTTTTAATAAAGATATTTTATATTTTTATTAAAAGGGCTAAGGTAAAAAAATTATGCTTATTAATAATAAAGCTAATAATTATGCTTAATAATATATAAAGCAATATATATAAAAAGCATACCTTACTTTTATTTATTAATTTAAGGTAGCATTTAACTTATTAATAGCAGCTTAAATTTAAAAGCCTTTTTATAAAGATTATAATAAGCTAAATCGCTAATTATAATAGCAAGCTAATAACTTAAAGCGTAAACTTTAATATATGCCCTTAAATTTATCTTAAGCTAAATTAATAATCTTTATTAATAGCTTATTTATTAATAATAAGAACCTTAGCTTATAAATTAGCTTTATTATTATACTTATAAATAAAATATAAACTTAATAAGCTTTTAAATAAAATATTAAAGGCAATATTATTTATTAATTCTTAATAAAGTGCTAAAAAGTAACTTAAAGCGTTTTAACTTTAGAAATTTATAACATAATTAATAACTTTAATATAGCTATAATGCTAATGATTACTTTATATTAAATTATTATATATTTAAATATTATAATAATTCCTTTTATAATATGCATTAACTTATACTCCTTATATAAGTGCTTAATTAAGCTTAATATAATAAAAAAGAAGCGCCTTATAATTAATATTATAGCTCTTTAGTAATTATATAAAAAGCATAAAATCTTTAAGATTTATTAAATCATTAAAAACTATAACTTAGCTAATGCCTTTATAAAAAGTACTTTTAATAATACTTTTTAATACTTTATAAATATAAATAAAATTATAATTAAGGTATAAAGCTATATAGATTGTAATTAAGAAAATAAGGCAATTATTTAAATATAGCAAAAAGATAAAAAAACCATAATATATTAAGGCTTAAATTCAAATTACTAAAACATAGTTTAATAACTTATTAATAAACCGCGTTAACATAACCTTAAATATTATTATTATATTATATATTATAAAGTTATTATATTAATATTAATACAATTAACTTAAATATGCATATTATATAATTATAAAAATAAAAAATTGCTAAAGGTTTTTAATAAAAAATAATAAAATAACTTCTTTAATTAAAGGTAATATATAATAAAAATATAAAAATTTAGTTTATATTTATTAATTACTTATAAATTACCTTATAATGCAATATAATTAGCTAACTTTAAATTACATCCCTTTTAAAGGTAAACCTTATATTTAAAATTTTTATAATAATGCTTATATATTAAAAGTTTAAATAATAAGGGTTATCATTATCTTATAAATACTTAAGTTACCAGCTTATATTTAATAAGCATCTTTAATTAAATTTTATAATTTAATACTTATATATTAAAATTAATAATATTATTATTTATTAACTTAATTAATAATCTTTATTTTATATCTTACTTTTCCCTTTATTTAAATACCTTATTTACTAATCCTTATAACTTATTAACTTTATTTACTTAACCTTCATTTTAACAACCTATCCTTTAATTATACTTTTTAATTTCTTTATTTAATAAGCGGCATTAAGTATAGCAAAGCTTAAGCTAAGTTAAATTAAGAAATTTTAATTATTTAAAGATTAAATAATTACATTAATAATTTAAGGATTTAATTTAATCCTTATTTAATTTAAATATTATAAGTAATAAAAATATAAATTTATAAAATGCATTATAAATAAAATATTTATATAGCAATTATAACTCTTTAAGCTTTTTAACTTTATATAATAAAGACGTTTTAATATATATATATATATACTTAATTAACTTTTGCTTATTAATTATATACTTTAATAAATTAATTAACCTTTAACCCTTTAATAATAACCTAAGCCTTTTTATATACTTACCTTTTATAATAATATAATATAGTAAAATAATAGCATACTTATAATTTAACTTATATATATAATTAATTAATTACCTTTTAACCTTAAGTTTAATTTAATTAAATACCTTCTTTTTTTTATACTTTTTAACAATAATAAGTACTTATAAAATAAAGATTATTAATATGGGAATAATAAGTATTGTTTATATAAAGGATTATTTAGGATTAAGCAGCTTTGGCCCGTTAAGATGCTTAGCAGGCAGTAGCTTTAGCGCTACATATAAAATAGCTAGCATAATTAGGCCTTTTGCCTTCCTCCCTTCCATAATTAATAATAATCAACCATTACACCAACCAAACATTATATTATAATACGTAACCCAGCTAATATAAAAAATAATAAAAAGTAAGAAAAGAAGCTAATATATAAAAAAGCTATTTATAATACTTAATTTTAAGTAAATAAATATTAATTAAAAAAGAATAAGTTAAAATAATATTAAATTTAATTTAATAATAAAAGTAAAAATAATTTTAATAATATTTATATTATAAAAATATATAATAAAAATAAATATAAGCTAAAAAGTTTAATATTAACTTTATTAAGCTATTTTAATAATACTTTATAATAATAAAAATTATATATATTTAATATATAATAAATTATAATTTTAAATTAATTATAATAAAAATTATATATATTTATTAAAAGAAGAGAAAATTATAAGTATTAATAAGTATAATTCTTGCCTTTGTATAGCTACTTTAATTATCCCTTATGGGGCATATAGCCTCTTAAAACTTAAATAAAACAACACCAATTAATAATTACTTCCCCATATGATTATCATACGTACAAGAGACCTACCAATACATGGCCTTAGGCGGCCTAGGGTGAATCAGATCCAGGCTGTGCGACCTCAATCCTTCCAAAATAGTGGCTTGGCCAGCATACATACAATTTCACTCAGACTGGAAATGGCCTGCAAGAGACGGCTCGCCATGCAGGTGAGATTTACCCATGGCCTATCAAAAGTCTTGCCCCCAAATTAAAGAACCCACAGTTAGTGGACCACGAGTGTGAATACGGAGTTCGTGACTGAAAGGCGGAAGTGGGAAGGAGATGAAAACCAAAACCGAATAGACCTTATTCCCGTCTCCCTAGTTCTCTTAAAGGAAGGCTGAGCCCGTTCCCTTTCACCCTTCTAGGGGTGCCCAGGCTCTCACCTCGAATTCCCTGGGGTGGATTTCACAACCAATTCGCCTCAGCCATCATATATTGGCATTCCGGGCTACCCACGAGAGTGAAATCCATGGGAACGAAGACTAAGAAGACGAAAAACAGAAGCAGCCTGACCTGTGAGGTGACAGCTGCCTGCTTGGGCGCCAGCTATGGAACCACAATGATGGATCGTCATCAGCAACAGACCTATTCCAACGACCCGGAGGTGGTACCAGAGTCCAATCTAGAATCAGTGCCTTACCGGCTGGCAGAATCAGGTCCGCAAAAGGAGCAATACACAGCTTCAAGTCAGCAGCACGACACGCGACACGGTGCCCCGGTCTGGGCTCCTGGCTTTAAAGATGCTTCGAAAACAGGGAGTGGGAAGACAAGGCTCATACTGATCGGAAGCGCCATACTGATAGCGATCGTTTCGGGAGTGATCGGGGGAATCGTGGGGTGGCACGTCACGGAGAACCGTCTCAGGGGCACCTCCACAAACACCGAAGGCAACGCCGGGTCTACGAGCGCAGATACGGATTCCGGAACGTCGTCCTCGTCGGGATCAGGCAGCACGTGTCCTTCCAACGGCACGGTGACGTCGGCCAGCGTTGTCCGGAACGGCACCGCTCTCGCGGCCACCGGGTGGCGATACGGCGACGAGCACGTCATTTGGCTGTACTTTCAGGGCAGTGATGACACCCTGAAGTACGTCGTATACGACACGATGTATGGGGCCTGGGCAGGGCCTACGATGCTGTCTCTCGCGCACGGCGCCGTCGGCGGCACCGCGCTCGCGGCGACAACGCTGCTGTGGGCCAGAAGCACTGGCGCACCACCTGAGCCGCAACCGCAGCTTGTGTATCAGGATACTTCTGGAACATTAAAGGGAGTCGCTTGGTACGTCTTTCTATCAGTTGTTTTGTTCATCCAAGAGCTACAGCGCGACATTATTGCGCTTGGATGGGTCCGGGACGTATTGCAAAGTGTCGACACCAAATTTCAATCAATTGCTGACTCTAGAACGCAGGAGACCTGGCTGGCCCTCCGAAGGTACCGGTACCAAGTTAGACGACGCAGACTTCTCCGCCACAAGCAAGAGTGCACTTGCCGGCTTCACCCCTAGTTTCTACCTCCAGGAAGGTGACGGCTCCGTATCTGAGACGACCCTCAATGGGAACTACACAGACCTCAAGGCGCTGCCCATCTCACCCGCCTCAGGCACGCCGCTATTGGCTGTGCCACGGACAAAGAGCCACTCGGGCAATGAGTTGAGGCTGTTCTTCAGGAGGGAGACGGACGGGCAGATAGCCGTGTTCGAAAGATCACCCGACTTTACTGCCGCATACGACACGGACAGCGAGCCCGCGCTACCATTCGGAACGGTCGGCGAGGAGAGCAATATTGCTGGATTCACGACGGCGCGGTCCGCGGGCACGAGCGACTTGAATACTATGATTTTGCTACAGGACGTCCCTAGTGGCGACGTAACATACACATGGGCAGGTGATTCGGCCGGATGGCAGGACACGGCAACGGATCCTGTCTTTGAGGGAGCCGACGCAGGTGGATTGTCGTGCCTAACAGCCGCGACGACATGGGACGGCTATGGGGTCAAACCGCTGGAGGTCTCGAATGACATGAACAAGTGCTACTTTGTCGTGGAGGGAAGGATCAAGGAAGTCTGGTGGGATGGAAGTGGCTGGGCAGATAATGGCTTCATTTGAGCTGAACACGCAGGTCCGAGAGAGATACCCGTGTCGAACGGGGGGGGGGGGAATTAAAATCCAAATAAGTTTATTAATATATTGCAGGTATCTCGCATTTGAGGAAACATGATTAGTCTGTTACAGAGAGATTGCCTTGAAAGCACAAGACTCATCCATGGGCCAACCTACGGGATAGGAGCTGGAAATTGCAGAACAGGTCCCAGACATAATACACAGCTTTGATAGCCAGCGACTGAAGAATCCGGCAAGTTGCTTGCAAGTTGCCACAACGCAGTCTCCCCCTCAACTTCTCTTGAGGAGTCTGTCCTACCTGAGTGGACCCCCCCGAGTTCTCCAGCGCGCTAGCTGAGAAGTGCCAAATCCTTCCAATGTGTGCTCGGCAGGCCACGCCGGCAAGTAATTTCCATGGGTCCTTGTGACCAGGGCCGCGATAAAATTGCGACTTTAGGAAACAGTTCTGTCCACCTACTTTTCTTTGCTTCTGTTCTCTGTCAACACTCGAGCACGAAGCTGCTGACAACTCCCTCGATGATTCAGTCCGCCATGGCGAGGACGTTGGGCATCGCAGCGGTGCTCCTGCTCGGCCCCGCCACGGCACTCGGAGCTCTCCATGCGACGTCACCAACTGCAAACACCACGAGCGGACTCATCATCGGCCATGCTGCGCCAAATCGGTCAGAGGTGACCGAATTCCTCGGCATCCGCTACGCAGAGCCGCCTGTGGGGGACCTCCGGTTTGCTCCACCCAAGCGGTACAACGCCCCAGCCGGCACTGTTCATAATGCTTCGGATTGGGGCGCGGATTGCCTGTCGAACAAGCCGCCGGTCAGCCCGTTCCCAAACTTCTCGGAGCCCTCAGGCTTCCGTGTGTGGAACATGTTTGCTGCGCAGACGGGCAACCCTTCAAGCGAGGACTGCCTCAGTTTGAACATCTGGACCAAGACACCGAACAATTCGGCGAAGAAGCCTGTGCTCATCTGGTTCCACGGTGGACGTTAGTGTTTTGCTTCCTCACGACTCACCAATACTGCTACTGGACGTGCTAATTACCACCTGCAGGCTTCCAGATACCTGGCCCGCACAGTCCATTCTATAACGGCCAGTATTTATCATCCGCCGAAGATGTTGTTGTCGTGACACCAAACTACCGTCTGGGAATATTTGGCTTCTCAGGGGCACCCGGCTTGGCACAGAACGCAGCTCTTCGAGACCATCGTTCTGTGGTGGAGTGGGTGCGCGACAACATTGCCGGCTTTGGCGGTGACCCTTCCCGCATAACAACATTCGGGCAGAGTGCAGGAGGCGCGGCAGTAGACTATTCGGCCTTCGCGTGGAAGGACGACCCTATAGTCGCAGGCTTGATATCAGTCCGGAACAGCACTCAGCTTCAACCCTAACACCAAGGAGTACGCTCAGTCCATCTTCTTCAACGTCTCCCAGGCCATCGGGTGCGGCGGCGCAGATGACGAGGCCGCCACGGTAGTGAGTTGCGTCCGGCAAGCAAATGCCTCTGCGATCTTGGCGGCCGCCGCAAAGGCACCCGCCTTGCCCTCGCTAGCTCTCGCCCAAGCTACCTTTCACCCGACCGTTGACGATGAGCTCGTGTTCTCGGACTACGAGGCAAGGGCACGCAACGGGTCATTCGCACGCATCGCATATCTCCTGGGCAACACCGATTTCGAGTCGGGGTGGTACAAGCTGTCTGCTTATGCAGCAAAGTTGAACCTCACCGAGGCGCAGTGGGATCTCTACAACCAGCGCGCCTTCACGTGTCCAACAGGTGCGCAGGCGCGATACCGGACTGAGCAACGTGTCCCCACCTGGAGGTACAGATACCACGGCGAGTGGGACAACCTGAGATTGTACAACTCCACGGCTGGGCTGGGGCCTAGAGGCAGCGGTGCGTATCATGGATCCGATGTTGAGATGGTCTTTGGGACGGGACGGGATGTTTCGCTGGTGGAGAACTCAGAGCGGGAGGACGCGGTGTCTGCGTACATGATGGGTGCGTGGGCTTCTTTCGCGAGGGACCCAGCCCAAGGTCTGCTGAGCTATGGATGGCCTGCATATGATCCGACGGCCGACACGCTGGCACAGCTGGCTCTCAACGGCAGCGCGGAACCGCGGTTCATTGACCCAAGTGTGGTTGACAGTCCTTGCCCGGAGGCCAACGATCCTTTGCCTGGACAAGGGGCTTTCTAAACAGGCAGAAATGTTAAGAGGACGTGTAAATATGAAGTGATGGGGCGATCTCAATAATGGGAATCATAACAGCCCGCATCAGAATGACTGAAGCAATGCCACCATGCCCTGAATTCGGGATGCGCCCTCGCAGTTTCCACACACCTCCCCGGACGTCCAAGTTTGGAGGTCTACCTCGAAGCCGGGCCTCGAGGCCTCAACGGGCTGATCAAAAGAGTCAGAGGCAAACCGCCATAGATCCTTCGGGGTGTTGTGGATGAGGCTTTGGCTTATATTCAGCCGCAGAAGGATGCAATGCATGTCGTGCTGGGCGTTGTCCCCGGCGGCAAGGGGTTGGGGCCTGCACGTGTGGCCATTGTACCTGCGAGATGGCCCCCAGCCCCGATCCAACATGGCGGGCGGCAGGTGCACTGTCCAGCTGTTCCCTGCACTTGCGCTACCTGATCAGGGGGTCAACACACACACCCACCACATACTTGGCTGCAGGCGCATCTGGGGCTAAGAAGCGCGGGACCTGCAGGCCTCCGAGCTTTCTCCCACTTGCACCTCTCTCTCTCTGTGCCGACTGGCCCATCAAGCGTCGCTCACCACCCCGCGTCCCCCACTGTCGCGGCTCAGTCCCGTCGCCATTGGTTTCAGCGCCTGTCTGTGAAGCTCGTGGCCCACGTCCTCGCACAGGTGCGACACTGTTCCTGATGGACTGGCTACACGCGCACACGCACACGCACACACACACACAGAGAGAGAGAGATAGAGAGAGAGAGAGAGAAACGCCATCATCGAGTGCCGCCGCATGCTGGGGGCGTGAGACCCTGTCCTACCCCATATCAACATGATGACTGTATTTGCCCGGTATATCTGCCCGTCTCCTTGAGGCTGTCTCCTTTGTCCACGCTCCTTTCGCAAGAGGGAAACATGGCTAAATCATCAGGTACCTCGTCTCCAGTTTCGGTCGGGGTCCCTCGTTTCTCATGACCTCATCCTGGTGGTGTTTGGGGCACATGGGCCCATGGGCCCAACAGTCAGGCCTGCAAACAAAGGGACCATCTGGGGGCTGGGTCACCCTTGACTATCTACACTTGCGACCACGCCGCCCACAAACACCCCCCCCCTCTTCCAAAGACTCGGCCTCGAGGCGTCCGACGTCTTCGGCTCGAGGACTTGTTTGCTCGCTCGCTAGCTGGCACCCTCCCGCTGCACGCACCTCGAGATCAGATCGGCCTCGAAGCTGAGGCCCAACGTCCTGGGGAACCCTAGACGGGCTGGGCTGGGCTGGCTATGTTCGACCCAACCAGCAAACCCGTCTGCACATCACACACAGCTACCACCCGCTTTGTTCCCACGCATTCTCTAGCCCTCAAGGAGGACTCAAGGAGGGCTGGCCTCACGAGCACCCTTGTTGCTCACCCGTCAAGATGACTACTAGGCCGTGGCTGATAGACCCTCGTGGTGTGTGTGTGTGCCCGGCACCTCGCCTGCCACCACCAAACACATCAGCCTCATGCTGCCACACCCTTTTCCCCTTATTATATCACAGTACCTCGAGGTGGTTTGTGGGAGCCCTCGTCTGCCACCCCGCCCTATGAGGAGGCCTGGGAACTGCCGTTATGACTGAGCAAGATGCTAAAAAGCGAGCCGTCCCCGTTGGAACCCCTGGTCTGCTGCTCCTTTCTTCTGCCATTCGCCCCTCCAAACTGTCAAACGTATATGCAACTATTACTTGCATTCTTAGCCCATACTCCACCTCCGTTGTAAAAGGCCCTTTGCCCCCCCCCCCCCCCCCGCGCCCTGGTCTAGCTACAACCGTCCTGAAGATCCAACGTACCTTTCAACTTGGCTCTTCCGCTCGACCAACACTATCATCTTGACGGCCTGTTTGTTCTCACATTAAGGCCCAGTCAGTCTGGTAGAACAAGTTGTTCTCAAATCGCCCTCGTCTTGCCGGCCTCAGCGCAACCTTGACAACATAGCCAGCCATCTACTCTGCATCCTTAAACCACGGTACCAACAGACACCGTTTGGATCGAGGCAACAAATATACAAGTCAAGGAAAGACATCGACTGTCATATGGCTAGAGACTACTGGGTCGAGACTTCCCCATCTGGACATCAGCGCTTCGTCAAGTTGAGGCGATCTCACTCTAACCCCCACGATGCGAGCACTCAGTCCTCCCGCGGCCGCCGGGTCGACTTTCTCGACGTTACGCGGGAGGAGTACAACTCTCTCTTGGCTCGGGAGAACGAACTGAGCAGGGAAAACGAGGCTCTCCGCCGTGAGAACCATGCTCTCAAGGCCAACTGGAGAACCTGCCACGAAGACCTGCGGAGGTTACAGGCCCGTATGCCCTCTTTAGAGACCACAGTTCGCAACCTCGAGCACGAGAACCACGAGCTGAGGAGGAGTTTCGACCACCATCACCACCGGGCCAGCAACTACAGCGAAGATGCGATGAGGAGGCTACGGAACAAGAACACAAAGCTTGTGAATGAGAATGACTCGCTATTGTCTCGTGTACGCGGCTTGGAACGAGATATTCGCGACGGTGTCGGCGATCGTGCGAGGAAGCTCATGGAGGAGATCAGTGCCTGGAGGCGACGATACGACAACTTGAGCTACACGGTTGATGGGCTTCAAAACGATCTTGCGGTGGCTACCGATCGGAACAGACGCCTGGAGGAGGCATGCGAACTACGAGCGCGGAACGAAAGGAAGGCCATGAGGGATGTCGACCGATACAAGGCTATTCTACGTCAGCACGGATTGCGGTGAGATCGTCATCGGTTTTGCGGAAGGTTGATGCTCGCAGCACTGATGCATGGCTGCAGGGAGTACACTTGGATCTGATGCAGATTGACATGGCCAGGATTTCCTACACGAGGCAGCCTACGTGGAATGGTTTTCTTTCCATGAATTCCGGGGTGAGTCTAAATGTTCAGTCAACCTTGAGAGACAGCTTCCCATCAGATTACTGACTGCGTCAGCTTGCAGTCAACACCAAATGAACTGCCACAGTTCGCCCCTTTCCTTTGTGAGCTGGCGTACACATCAACGGCTTTTGGGACACCAGTGCTTGTCAGGACACATAGCAATTTGCTTTGTTCTCTTTCTTTGACGATGACTCCATTGCCGCACGACACCTTGGATCACGCACCCCCTCCGTCCCAACACTCTGCGTTCCCCTCGAACCGAGAATGGAAGTCATCCGAGGGGGGAGAATTCTACACAGCATAGCAGTCGGGCGTTAGGCCCTGGATTCAGACAAACATTCAGATTGAACGAGTTTGCCCGGACACAATTCGCCACTTTCCCCTCTTGCTCCCCCAAAGTGCTGTGTGATCGTGACAGCTGGGACTATCGCAAGCTGATTCAGGCGTGATAAGGCCTGTGGCCCCGTGAGCAGCTCCCGGGTGGGCGTTGCAGCTGTCAGATGAGCCGCTCACGCGCTACTGCGGCCCGAGGGCTTGGGGTGCCCCATGAAAAAGCAACTCACCCGACCAGAAATATCCATAGTGGCCACGATTCCGATAACAATCAGATGGCTAAGTTCCAAATATCATCTTGACCTCGAAATGTTTGTAAAATGATGCGCGTGGGCAGGCGTGCACCCGGCCAGGACGATCGGACGGTCGCCGGGACGAGAATGAGTGGGCGCCTGGGCAAGGCTGACCGGGAGAGGGGAGCGCTATAAAATGCGGTTATAAGCTCGGATTTTATAGGGTGCTTTGTTCGGAATCTCGGTTTTGCTTTTACTTTTACTTTTTCTTTGTCTGTTCCTCTTCTCTTGCGGTCGTAGACATACGAGCGAACTGGGAATATCCAGGTGCGCCAATTCACACATGTCGCACAACGGCTGTGGCCAACGCCACCCATATCCTGCTCCGTTGAGCAGCAACCGCTGACGCCAACGAGATCTCCAAGGCATACCGTGCTATCTAGGCCGGTTCCCAGGATCTTCATATCCGCTGGCGAGTATTCGCAGGGCCGGACAGAAACATGGCCCAGCAATGACGATTAGTTCGGTGAGTTACACGCAAACGCAAAAGTCCCCTCCCACCCCCGGTGCAGCCGCCAGGCAGAAACGCCACGGCTCGGAGCGAGAGAGAGGAGAGAGGGTTAAAAGGCGTCCAGTCCTGCATGAGGGGACTGGGACATGGTTGGAGGAGTCCCGCTGGAGTGCGAACGTGTCCGAGGAGCGAGGTAGGACTCGCTCACTGCGTTGTTTGAAGTTGCAGGCTCCGTGACGTCTGCGTAGATTAGACCATACAGACCACCTTCTCAGCCTCAATTCCTCTGGGTGGTGCTATTTCTAACCAGGAGCTGGCACCGTGGGCGTGGCTTTATTGGGCTCGAGGGGGGGCTTTCCAAGATTGGTCAGCTTTGCACTCTGCTTGCTGCCGGGGCTGGTCCTTTTTCTTCGAGGCCTGGTGGGCCGGAAGTGGGTAGTTGTAGGTCAGGTCAGGCGTGTCACAGCATCGATCGATCATTCAGATCGCGGGCTGTCCGGACGACGTTAGCTGCTGTGTGGACGCACGTCCACGTCTCCCTGCCATGTAAGCATCGGTGCTCTGTCATGGAGAAAGAGTTGCCTTGTTAGAGCATGCGAGGGTGGGACTGTGGTCGTGCGCGCCCCAGGTCTGACGGTGGACGCGAGTGAGAAGCGAGGGACCCCTCCTTCTCCATCCGCGTCGCGGATCGAGATAATCGACACCCAGCTGGTGGAAGTGGTGGGTACCCCTTCCCCACAGCAAGCAGGCAGGACTGTCTTGGGTCCTCGAGTCTTGCAAATGAAACTCAGATGTCTTGTGCAAATATATTGGTGTCCTTGATGCCGTTTCGCGGGGGCCTTCGGTCTGAAATTCACGATCCACCCGTGGAGGGCAGGGCAGGGAGGAGGAGAGGATAGCTTGTGTTGTGAACGGAATACGACAGTACACGGCGCAGTGTGGTACAACATGGTGGCAACCATATAGCCTGTGCTCCGCCCTTCCGCTGCGGAATGCCGTCGTCTACTGCAGCCTCGCGCCTGTCACGACCCAGTTCGTGGCAGACGGCAATGTGGAGATGGGGGGTGACGGAGCGATCCATGTTCGATGCGGGCGCTGACATGTCATTTTCGAACATGCGTTAATCCTGTCGTGGATTTGAGAGGGGTGGTACCGTGCCATCAACAATGGTGGCCGCACGTCTGTGTGTCAGGCCGAGTTGGGCCGGCGATCTGGGTTTTCGGGCCCTTCCGTGCCCTGTTTCTGATCAGCCAGGCATCACCGCAGGGTGCGACCCTGGTCACAATGCGTGCTTAAATCCTCACGAGGCTGTCACGGCAGCTTACACAATACAGACAGAGCTGTGGAGCCCTGCTGTGCCGCTTGGATGGCGGATTGTAGTATGCATGCCGTCTGCAATAGGGTATCCCGTGCAGTGCTCAAATCCCCGTCGTGCTGCTGCCGTCGCCGAGGGGAGGGAGACTATCGTATGACGGTCGGTGTCCTGAAGAAGTCCAGCAGTAGTCGACGCCGAGTGTGAGTAGGCACGCACCCACTTAGACTAGTTCCCCAGGATCCCCCAGAGACCCACTTGCCGAATGAATTGCAAGGTGAGCGGGCAGGGCCCCCCTGTCAATGGGGCAGTGTGCAGTGTGCATTCGAGTTTGGAGGGGGGGGGGGCGTGGAGGGCTGCAGTGGGAGTTTTTACACATTGCCTTTACCCTGCAACCTCTCTCCCCCAGCTCCTGTCATGCACATGTCATCCGCGGCGTTTCGAAAGGTCTGGCCTGGCCTGGTCTGGTCTGATCGTGTTTTGTACTGAACATGCTGTGAGTTGTTTCGTTTTGTTTCGTCCTGTTGCTCTGTCCCCCAAACGATTCTCGCCGGCCAGTCTGTGCGACCGACCGTTGGCTCCATGTCGGGAGTCCTTCATTGTCCTGCACTACACCTTCCCTCCCGGGACAATAAAGGCCGGACAAGACAATGCAGATCTATAGGAGTCATACCATACGGATGGGGAGGGGGAGTGGGTTTCGCAGCAGTCGTGAGTCACCTGCTCAGCTGCTCGACGAGCCCTCCGCGACGCGATGCCGTCGCCCAGTAGCAACGCCAGGAGCAACGCGGCCGAGAGGCCAAGCAGGCTGCAGACGCACGTCTACGGCTAATGGCAGCAGCTCCGGTACTGTGACAGTGACATTGTACCGTGCCATCCCACACCCACACTTCACACATTTATGCCAGTAGATGACACGCGATTGTGCATCAGGGCGAACCATCGGGGCGAACCACATTGTTCTGTGGCATCTCGTTGGACGCTCATTCGCACCACGGCAAAGAGGTCAAAGGAGCAGGGGACAAAGGGGCAAGTTTCGACGGACCCAAGTCAACAGAGGCCTTCTTCAGAGACAAGATCTGTTGCAGGCTATGGTGCCAGTCCTCTATTGCCAAGCCCACGCTACCTAGCCTCGCTCACAGCCACACCAGTAGATGCAAACTAAATGCAGCTTTCTGTCCAAAGCTTCACAATCCTTCCTGAGGAGCAGGTATTTTGGTTTCAATTACTTGGTATATTGCATGTAGGACAGGATATGCTTTGTAGTCTAGACAATCATGTTGATGATAATATTTGCATGGCTCCAACACTTTGAGCATCCTATATGATAAAGCTTTTTTCGGTCTGCTGCCACTAGTCTTCCGTGGCCTAATTGGCTAAGGCGTCCGACTGTTAATCGGGAGATTCCTGGTTCGATCCCAGGCGGAAGAGCTTTTTTTGCATCAATTAAGCTTTATACCTTAGTAAAAACTTATTTTTCTAAGAACCTTTTCTTTTTTTAAAAAAGAAAGGTTTACTTACTTAACTATTAGTATGCTTAAAAGGGTCCTTAAAGTCTTATTAAAAGTTAATAATTTATGGAGGAAAAAAATAAAAAACAAAAAAATTAACTACTGGGGAAGAATCCCTAGATAATGTGCTACACTCCCTCGGGTGGGCTCGAACCACCAACCTCTCGATTAACAGTCGAACGCGCTAGCCAATTGCGCCACAAGGGATTATGCTTTGCTTCATTGCCTACATGGCTGTCTAGGAGTTTTCTTAGTATAAGTAAGAAAGTATCACCTTTCATTTTATTATTTTTTTTAATAAAAAGCCTTAAAATATTTTAATAATTTTAATACTTTTATTATTAAAAGATTATTTATATTTATTTAATTTAAAAATAAATTATATAACGTTATATAATATTTTTACAAACTTGTAATTATAAATCACTTAATTGCTCATGATTTATAAGCTGAGATGGAGTTGGTTAAGCTTATGGATATTATTATGCAAGATTTGAAATCACTTAGCCATCTCTCAATAATAACGACGGGGTGTGGCATAACCGCATGATATTTCTATTAATAGGTTTCTCGTACATATGATAATCATATAAGAAGCAATTATATATTGGTATTATTCTATCTAAGTTTTAAAAGGCTACGTACCTTAAAAGGGATAACTAAAGTAGCCTTTTAAGTAATAAGAGTCATACTTATTAATACTTATAGTTTTTCTCTTCTTTTAATAAATATATACAATCCTTATTATAATTAGCCCCAAAATTATAATTCATTGCATATTAAGTATATATAATTTTTATTATAAGAAAGCATTATTAAAAAGGCTTAAAATCATAACTCATAAGTTTTAAAATAAGTCCTAGCAACCCTTACCATTACATTACCCTTTAAACTTACAACCTTCATTATTATATTATTCCTTAAATATTATATTCATTATTCTTAATACTTAGCTTTTAAGATCGCTTCTTTATAAAGATTATTAACTTTTATATAAAAGCCTTAATTTTAAATCTCTTCTTTATAAGGAAAGTTAATGCCTATAAAGCTAATACCAAACCCTTTAGCTTATATCCATTTTTATTACATACCTTTATAATATAAATATTATTATCTTTATCCTTACTTTTATTATTAAAACGCACTTAATATTGCTTTAAATTATTTTCCTTTAGCTATTTCTTATCCTTTTAAAACTAAGTATTGCAAGCAGCCTAATTATTTATTAAATTCTTTTCTTACTTTTTATTATTCTTTTTAATTTCCTTAATGATTATCTTTTACTTAAATTACTTAAGTAATAGCGCATATTTCTTAACAAGTCCCTTTATATATAAGCCTTATATATGCTTATTAATAATTTAATATAAAAAGTTTTAAAGCTAAGTTAATATAATAATTTAATTCTTTAATAACTAAATCTTTTTAATTTAATATATATAAAAGATACTTAGGATTAAAACTCTTATTAAGTTGTTTATTATGGAAATTATAATAATTTAGCATTTAAGATAGTAATCGCCTTAATAATTCTTATTATTAAAAATGCTATACAATCTTGCATTAAGAGTTTTAATGCTTTTAACATAAATGCATAGCTTTTTAACTATATTATTAAAAAATATTTACTTATCTTAATACTAAAAATTATTAATAATTTAAATAATAACTATTATAATAACGTTATTTAGGAAAAGTATTTTAATTTAAGCCATAGCTATAGCCTTTAGCTTATTAATTTTAATAATTCTATAAGAGTTAACCTTAATAAGCAACTTACTTTTTTTAATGCTTAGTATAAAAGTAAAGTTAAAGGCAATCTTTATAATCTTTATTAAGGTTTTATTAGCCTAATTTTAATTATCTTTATTATTAGCAATAATTAAATTACTATTAATATTAAGCAAATAAAAATCATTATTATTAACATCTTTATTAATATTCATTGAATAAGCAAGCGGATAAAAGTTATCATTATTAACATTGTTATGGGCTGGCCTTAAACTCGCAGAATAAAGGTACCCAAATGGAGTTAATATTCAAAGTGCAAAGGAAAAGGTTCACTCCCCATCTACACCCGCGCCGAAGCCTATTCTTATAAGGCCAAAGCCCGCTAACTAATCACTATAGGCACAAGCCCAAACCATAACATATCCCCTTTCCCCGGGTTGGAGCTGCAAAGGGGCCTTCCCAAGGGGTTAACTATATAACAAAAAATAAAGGAGGCACTGCTCCAATCGCAAATCAAACATCGCCTTTTACTTAGCCATTTAATTAACCTACAGCGCTTTAACTACGCCACTAAGCCGGCTTATATTATATATATATTTTTATCCTTTCTATACCCTATAATTTAATATGCTAGCCAAAGCAAGCTAATAAGAAACAATTATCCAAGCATAAGCCAGCAGCTAAGCTAACGGCATTCCTAAGATCCTTTAATCCATGCCTTTTATATAAGCTTCCTTACTTAAAGCCTTAAGGCCGCGAACTTATTATATAACTTATAATTAATTAGCGTTTAATTATAAATAATCTGCTTTATTAATGGAAAGTTCTTAAGCCCTAAAAGTTTCATAGCGCTAAACTAGCTAATACCAATTAGCCTGCTTTAAGCCTAAGCTGGCACTAAGCCGGCATTACTTTAAGCCCTACCCCATAGAAAAAAATTTACGCGCTAAAAACAACCTTAATTAAGCGCCTCCCCCTCATTAAGCCCAATTAATAACAGCTATACATAGGTTTTCCCGCGGCGATTTAAGTAATTACGCTTATAATAACTAAGCTAGCCATAAGCATAATACTTAACTCCCCCTGCCAAGACTGCTGTAATATTAATATTTATTGCTTTGCCATTTTAAGATTAAGTATTATCCTCCGCTATCATGGCGTTAAAAACGCCCTTATATCGCTACAAGGCAAAGCAAAATGCCTTAAATATCTTTAGCTACTCCTTGCGATTAAGTCTTAATCTTGCTAAGGCAGCAAGTTTATTAGCCATAAGTAGTATTTTATAGTTATTTAGCTAAGCTTAAGCCCTAGCTATATAAGAAAGCTAATTAAAATAAGTAAGAAAATCTGCCATTCCCTCCTCACGGCGTTATTGCAGCATAATTAAGCTAAGCTTGGCATGCCTTTACTTAAAAGGATCCTTAAATGCAAGGCAAACTCTTTTTAAGAAGCTCTCTGGCTGCCCCTTAAATATCTTTATAAAATTAATATAGGGTAGAAATTAATCACGGAAAGTTCTTAATTAGCTAAATATATAAAAGAACTAAGCCCCTTTGATATTAATTGCCTCCCTATTTATTACGAACTTAACTTTTATCTTTACTAGCTAAGTTGCTAAACTTTCCTAAGATAAGAGCTCCTTAGAATAGGAAAGGGCTTGGCAAACTGCCATTATTCCTTTTAAATCTTATTATACCGGGTTTTGTATAATTGCACTATAGGTTTATAATGCAAGAGGACTTTAAATATATATTATGAGCTGGCCTTAAACTTGCAAAATAAAGGTGCTTAAATAGAGTTAATATTTAGAGTGCAAAGGAAAAGGTTTACTCCCCGTTTATACCTATGCTAAAGCCTATTCTTATAAGGCTAAAGCCCGTTAACTAATCACTATAGGCACAAGCTCAAACCATAATAAACATCCTTATTAATATTTATTAAATAAGCATTATTAGCAATAACCTTGCCATAGGAATTAATAAAATTAATAAGCTTATCTTTATCCTTATTAGTTAAAATAATTTTAGCCCTTCTTATAGCCTTAGTAATAATTTTAATCTTTATTTTATTGCTTAATAGGAATATAGTTATAATATTTATTTTATTAATTAAGGTTATAATTACAATATTTATCTTATTAATTAAAGTTATAATTGCAAAGCTTATTTTATTAATTAGGGTTATAATTGCAAAGCTTATTTTATTAATTAGGGTTATAATTATAATGTTTACAGGGAAATCCTAATTTTAATTAAGGGTTGCGGTAGGGCTATCTCCAATGCTAGCTATATTAATGGCAGCCATGGTAATGATTATACTAAGTATGTTCTTAACGCGGGAAGTAAATGCAATATTTACTAAATAATTATTATCATCCTTATAAGGTATATTAATAAAAATATTAAACAACTCTTGTAAATCATTATTAATATTCTTTATTATAATAAAAAGGAAAAAGATTTTATAAGAATTTAGCAATTAAAATAAATATTTATAATGCAAAACTTTATAATTATTATACAATAATTATTAATTTATTCTTTAATTATAAGAAAAGTTAATAAGTTGCAAATAAATTTAATAAAAGTTAGTTTTAATATTACTATTAATAAATAGCAGCAAAAGGTAATAATAATAATAAAATTAACTTTAAAACAATAATTATTAATAATATTAATAATTATAAGGTTATCCTTATATATAATAAAGTATTAAAAAGATCTTAATTAAAATATAAAAGGTTAAAGTTTATATTAAGGGTTTAAGTTTAGGAAGTATAAGGTTTTATAGCTAGCGGCAATAAGGTTAAAAGGAAAAGAGTGCTAATAGCAAGTTACTCCTTCCTTAGCAAAAAGAGGCTACTTTAAATCTTTTAATTAACCCATTTACCTATATGCAAAGCTTATTATTATTAATAAGCTTTTATAATGCGGTATTTAAAGTTAATTTTATTATTATATTAATAGGGTTATCTTTCTTATTTATTTACCTTACTTTAATAATCTTTTTCATTTTATATAATTCTTGCAGTAATATAATATTAATTATAAAGCGCTTTTTCTTTATTATTCCTAGCTTTATAAGGTATTTATATAAGCTATATAAGTCCGTATAAATAATTAAGGGTATATCTAGTAATAAGAGTTATTTTATAACTATTTTAATTATTATAACTAAAGAAATTTTAAT